ACTTCGCAGGCATCTTCTGAAAAACAACCTTCCGCCTCTCTTCTCAGAGGGCACTCTCAATTTCCAAAATGAAAGTCTGAAAAAGAAAAAGAGAGTAAGAAGAAGACCAGTAAAAAGAAGAAAAAGATGCCAGTTGCAGAAATAATATGAAAACTTACCCTCAAAGCCATCCCGGATATGCCCAGTGACAAGTCGGAATCCCGAAGCGCATGAAGAGTGCTGTTTTCGGCGATAGAGCAAATATGAGCAAAGGAGGGAAAAATGCTCATCGTATCCTCCAACAAATTGCAGTCCAAAGGAATTAGGATCGAGCGAGAGGATCCATCCGTTCTAACCTCCACGCACATAAGCCCTTCATCGAATATCCTCACCTCCTCAGGATCGACATCGGAGCCAGACTCGTAATCTTCTATGACACTCTATTTGCCTTCTCCTCAGCCGACGGGGGAACGTTTGCCTGCCTTGATGTTGAGGACCACTTTGAGTGATCACAATAGCTTCCGGTCGCTCCCCTTCCTCCACAAAGGTGATCTCTACGTCTGAAGGAGGCGCGGTCTCCATATCCAAGGCCATACCACCCCCCGGCTTGGCCGTAGACAACTCAGGACCACTCCCCACCGACTCCTTTCTAACCACTCTCCTATCAGCCTCTACCCTTCGCCTTTTTAGCGGAGCCTTTCCGTCTTTGCCTTGGTCTAACTCATCGACCAAGTGAAACACCATAGAAGGCGAAATTTCATCAAGTGTGGTAGTGACATGGCGACTAGGACCATGTGAGGCCGGGGTCCGAGGAATACCAGCGGCTTGAGCAGGTTCACATGCAGCTACAGTAAGTACGGGCTCGGCCGAGATACCCAACTGACAAAAATCAGGCGTAGGAGCCCTCGCCCTCCTTGAAGCCCTCCGACCTTTAAACAAAGAAAGATAAATAAGAGAAGATAGAAACGGCGATATAAAGGTCAACAATCAAAGTCAAAGGTAACTATCCGGCCGCAGGTCAATGGCCAAACCTCTCATTGAAGTGCGACCACTCACGAATCTCCACAGTGTGAGGCAAAACCTGACTCACCTAATCGCGGATGTCAACGATTGGTGAAGGAGGTTCGCGCTCGGCTACAAAAATAAAAGGAGAACGATAAGATTACCTAAAATAAACAACGAAGTCATTTGGAAGGAAAACACTTACGAGCAAAGTCCCACTCCTTGGGGAATCCGTTGGGGTTCGATACCATGTGCTCAGTCTTTACGTAGAAGAAATTTCCCAAAAACAATGATTAGTTTTATCGTCCATCTTCACCACCAACCCCTTGGTCCCATGGTGGCGCATATGAATCATCGTACCTCTATGAAAACTTGGGGCGGAGAGGTGAAGTAGATGGCTGAGAGAAATACCACTGTTGGACAGCTCCGCATACTTGATAAGCATGAGGAATAGCTTGTATATGTATGGAGAGAGCTTAGCCGGGCACACATTGTAAAAACGGCAAAAATCCTCCACCAAGGAAGGAAGGGGAAGTGTGTAGCCGACGGCGAATGGGTACGTGTAAAATGTGCAGTACCCCGAGCGTTGTATTTGCACTACATCACTACTAGCGGGAATGATTTAAACGTGGGCTGGGATTCTTCACTTAGCCCTAAATGCAGCAATCGCCACCACATCCATCGCAGAAATAAAAGGTTCAGTTCACTCTCAGGTAGGTTCTTGAAGTCTGACCTAGCCTTCCCGAAACGTGGGATTATCTTATCCACAGTGGGGAAGTTTTCATCTTCTACCGTGGTTGTTCCTTCCTCATGAGGAGTTGCGTCCATAGCCAGCGTCACAAGATCAGAGGAAGCATTGGTCATTTTCCTGATTGTATGTGAAAAGGAGATACTAAGATGAAGGAAATGACAATAGCAAAGGAAATAGAAGGGAGAAAGAAAACACAGAAGCTGAAAACTCGAAGAAGAAAAGAAATGCTTTAAAGATTCTAAAAATGCAACAATTCAAATGAGGAGTGCCTACCCCTATTTATAAGAATATGGGCACCCCAATCGAGAAATCCCAAACGCCGCCTCTTTAATTTCGAAATGAAAGAGGTGCGGGAAACGATATAATGTATGGGGAACATGCGTCATAATGACGCATGATGGAATGATGTCATTTCAAACTGACGTAACAGCCAGGTGTGGCTCTTGAAGCGCCACATCACCACCTCGCCAAAAAGGGTCATTCTTCGTTCAATGTGCTCAGACTTCTCAAAATTCCAACTGGCGACATCAGCTCACCGAGCTTGCCCAAAAGCAACCCCGACGGGTGGAGGGACTAACTGTATGGGTCAATATCTAATCGAAGAAACCTCGCCTGAAATAGGAAAATCCAGAATCAATTAGGCCGAGGTCATACTTAAGAAGCAACATTGGCGAGCCGAGCAGTGAATGCCGAGGTCGAGCACCCAGATCGGCCAAACGACTAATTTAGCAATAAGAAATTTCTAAATAATATTCGGAGGAATATTCTCTGTATTTGTACTTTCAGTAGGTAAGGGGAATGTCCCATATAAATAGGGAAAGAGAGAGAGAAAGAAAGGGATCAAATTATTATTGATCTTGATAAGCTCTCTCTAGAGAAGTTGACTCCCATATAACTACAAACATTATCTTTATACAATATTCGATTTGTTGTGTTGTTCCAAGCTTTTCCACACTAGGTCCGATAAAGTGTTTGATGTTCACATGTTTGGCCATCTTACATCATCGTCAGAAAGAGAATCATCCACCTCATGACACATTTGGGTGAATTTATTCTCTTTATTTACAACCATTACCATTCATCATATTTATTGCTTGTCTTTATTCTATCATTTATTCACAAGAATATCATTAAACCACGTTTTTGCCTTAAATAGCTTTAAATGCGATTTCTAGGTTGTTATTTCCCACCAATCTTGAATTTAGAACTTATTATATTTAATTAGAATTTACCTATTATCATTCACTTAGTTTAACAAAAAAGTTTAAGACTTTTTGGTCAAGCACTTACGTTGAATATAATTGGAATAATAATTTCCAGTTTGTAATTATCTTCTTTCATGGTTCGCGACAACTTAAGAACTATACCGTATCAAAATATGCTTAGTCAGGCACCCTATTTATCAGTTTTTAGCTATGAATGGATCTCAGGCAAAGCTTCTTCATGATTAATTAGTTTCGCATGTCGAAATTTGCAAAGGTTCTAAGTTATTCTTAGTTTTTCTTATGAGTATATCATTTGCCCACAGGAGGCTTCATTTTTCATAATCAATTAATGGTTCTATCAACCCCTTCTAATCAAATTTCACGTTGTGTAAGTCCATTAAAGAAAGGTATTCTCCTATTTAAATTTTTCCTTTCTAAACCACTCGGGACCTGATTCAAGACCACTCATTAAGAATGGTTTGAACTGTGTACTTTTTTCTTCTACGGAAGACACGTATTGCTTTGAATCTGGAGCGGATAACTTTGTTAGCTAGTATATATAGCCTAGTACCCCCTTTTTCCACATCCTCCTTTCATTTATTCATCTTTTACTATCGGTAAATTCTATATATTAGATATTCAAGATATAATGCTCAATATGCATTAATAGGCCTTTATTATCCTTAATTGGTTGGCTGTGCAATGGTGGTAGTTTGCTTCATATGTATATATAATATAACTGTAGCCAGTTACCTCTTAGTCTCAGTGGAAGATAAACTTGATTACTTGTCGGACGAATTTCATAGTGATACACAAATTAATGAGTTATCATACAGAAGTATCGAAATTAATTCAGTAACTAGAATAGATGACTATACATAAATTATACTTATATATTAAACAAACTACAAACCACCGAAATTAATATGAATTCCGACTATATATTCCCAAACAACATACCTATACTTGTGAAAATTTCTAGAAACTCCCAACTCAACCAATTACCCATATTTCCAACCCATTATCCAAATATTTCACCCGTTATGATCACCCAAAGTAACATCATTCCATTAGAGACAATGAGAATCAAAATGCTCTTCTTTTTATTGCACACAACTTAAACTGATCGAAGAAATTAAAGATCTTAGATACTCCTACTACGTAAGGATTTTCTAGTAGTCAACAAAATTAATAAGGAGAGTGTGTGAGGAAAATCCTAGAAGAATAATTTAAAATGCAAAAACAAAATATGAAGGAACCAGAAATTTAAAAAAAAAGGGG